CCGCCCCGCCCACCCGCCAGAGCATTCAACTCAAGTGTGATAATTTTTACCTCTCTGTAGGCGTGCTCTGCCACTATACAGGCGGGCCTGGACTCTGATGCTGGGGCACCCAAATATCGCCTATGCGCTCTCCGTTACCTACTGCAAGCTTGGAAGACCGGTAAGTTACAAGATCGCTGGAGCAAGAAGTTGGTAGAATCCTGCTTTGGGTCGCAGATCACCATACGAAATCCTAATCGTTCTGTAATACAGGACCGGATGTAACAAAGAGCATACAGTCTGGGCAATACAATGGAAAGGAAATATAAATAAAGAATAAAGTTTCAAGGAAAGGCGTCCTTTGGGAAAATGAGTAAGTTTATTCATTTAAGTCATTTTCCCAAAGGACGTCTTTCCTTGAAATTACATTTTTAGGGCTGCCTGCCTTTCAGTTTATACGAATGAATAAAGTTTATAAAAGTAGAAAAAACAGGAATAATTATTTATCTAGTGTTTGTCAAAAAAGAGCGCGCCATAATTAAAATGTGCAATTATACAAATATTGGGGAATAACTAAAACTAAAGTCAAGTAACTAAAGGACATCAACTAATGTAAGCTAAACTCACTTAACTAAACGTAATCTAAAACTAAAATAGTAAACATAATAATGAACTGTAAACTGAAGTTAAATATAAATAAGTTAAGTCAGCCCCGTTGGTATAGAGGTCGTAATTCGCCGCTTCTTCCGCTCCTCACGACTGTCTAGGCTATTTTTCGTGGCATGAACTCTCACGGTCTACCATGTGCTTTCCATACAGTAGCTTCTTTAATTCATGAAATTGTAGCTTTTTAATTTCCCCAGAAATTAATTTCTAATTTGGGGTACGATACGTCGAGGGCGTCGTAAAAATGACCAAGTTTGCGAAGATTTATAATTACTCACATACCGGAATGAATGCATATAAGAAAACTTTGAAATAATAATTAACAACCTCAGGCAAATTTGTTGCTTAAAATAAAAATAAAAAGTACTTATTGTTTGTTAAGAAAAATAAAAATGTCTGAATCCTCAAGTTCTACAGACGTAAAAAATGGCTATAAATTAGAACAATAAATTAAAATCTTATCGTAAATGACTGGATATTTATACCACTATTTTATATCAAAAGAAGTTTCCCTTGATCAAAATGTTTTAAACATATTTCCATTATTTAACTACAATTACTTTCAGACCGGCCTTTAAATTCCGGCGAATTTTCGAGCGTTTTCAGTGTTTTCATGCTTTACTCCATAAACGTTGATCGGTGTCTTTATCAAAACCTCTGAGAGCATTTATCGAAAAACGAGTTTTATATATTATTTCGCATGAAAATGGCCATACAGGCCATATGTAGAAATTCCTCCAAACAACAAAACACATTGTCGAGCAAAAAGAACGTCCGCAACAAAAGTCTGATATTATTCCTAAGATTAATAAAAAATCTTTCCGTCATAGGTTTCATCGTTAAAAAGTACTATTCTTAGATATTCAGCTGACGAAATTCTGTACATATTACCTTCTTCCAAGGTAATGCCAAAATAAAAATGGGGACTTTTGACAAGTTTTTTTTTTACCTCAAAATAAATGGTACAGTTTGACTGGTACTGAAAGAACTTACTTATCACTTCATATTGGAATATTTTTCAGCGAATTTTCAGCGAGTTTTTCTGCAAATGCAGAAAACTGTAACTGAATATGTAGAAAGTTTTTGCGAAAATTGTTAATCTTCTGTCGGTTCCGTTTCTAAATTACGCACAAGCGAAATTTATGTTGCACGAGGGAGTATATCGCTACATGCTTTAGATTTAACAAGGTTCGTTTTTCGCTTCATCTGCGCGATAATGTAAATGTATTTTTATTCACCGTCCCAAATAGTTGACGCGGCAAAATAAAATGCGATGAGTTGTAATCCAAGTACGTTTATTAAACCTGTCCAGCAGTACAATTTTCATTT